AAAAGTTTCACTTGATAATCACCAAGACACTAGATCACACACAGAAGAGGACGATTGCTAATCAAAGTAGCCCAAGGTAATTTGTAATTAGGCCCTACACCTGCAACATGCCAACCTCCCACCCATTGACGTTTTAGACAGCCTGTGGTCAAGCAGGTGTATCTGCCTCCTGGGGATTTTTATCCAAACAGGCATCTCTCTAAAACATAAATCCTTTTGCTGGGAACATGCTTTGGCCTTTCCTCAGCTCCCCGGTTCTGTGATCTGCATGAAATGAATTCACTCATGTAGAACGTGGGAGACAGGAAGTAGCTATCGCAGACATGAGGCTCTCTGGCCTGAGACAACAATGAACAAAGGGGACACCACTCCCCTATTTATATATCAAGAAACAGGCTTCACCATGTTTCCTGAAGTCTCTGGAACGGTGGGCCTTTCCTGAGAGGCATTCCCCTGTCCAAGCAATTGACAGGCCCATTTAGGTCAACTCTTAAGGAAGGGACAACAGTATGTGTTTTCTCTTTACCAGAAAGCTTTCTTCTAGACAGCAATCTCCTCTCCTTCCTGGTAGTTTAGAAAGCCATGTCTCCACCCAGGGCCAGAGATACAACTCAGATCCCATCCCTTGATCAAAAATTATGTCACAGACTAGAAGTTACCAAAAAAATAAAGATTGGATCTATAAAAATGACAATGCTGGGGCTGGAGAGACGGCTCAGTGGTTAAGAATACTGTTCTTGTAGAAGACCCGGGTTCAAATCCCAGCACCCACATGGCACCTAACAACTGTCCATAACTCCAGTTCCAGGGGATCCAACAGCCTCTTCTGTCCTCCACGGGCACTGCACAACATGGGTGCACTTACCTACATGCAGGCAATACATGCATACACATAAAATAAAAAAATATTTTTTTAAAAAAAATGACAACACTTCACCACAAGGAAATAACCTTCCTTTGATGAGCCTCAACTAAGCCCTGCTGCTCGCCTCTCTATCCTACTTTGCTTTCTGGGGTTGTGATAAAACACTGACCAAAAACCAACTTGAAGAGGTAAGGTCTGATTTGACTTACAGCTCGAAGTCCATCGCTGAGGGAAGCCACGGCAGGATGTGAAGCGGAGACCGTGGAGGATCGCTGCTTACAAGTTTGCTCCCCAGGCTGCTCAGCTATCTTCTGCTGCTGCGACCCAAATCCATCTGCTGAGGGATGGCACCTCCCACCATGGGCTGGGCCCTCCCATATCAACTAGCAATCAACAAAATGCCTCACAGGCTTGGCCACAGACCAGTCTGATCTGGAAAATTCTTCAGCTGCGGGTTCCCTCTTCCCAGGTGACTCTAGTTTGTATCAAGTTGATGAAACTAACCAGCACACCTTCTCCCTCCCTTTTCGCTAACCTGTCACCTGGTGTTTTAAATTTTAACCGGCAATTGCGATACCCCCTCCCTCCTTCCATGTGGTGTTTGAAATTCTCCAAAGGGGTAACTCCAGCTTTCCTTAAAGTACTGTGTTACCCAGGACACAGGAGGTAGGGCCCTTAGCTGATTGTGAGGGGGAGATCCATCTTCAATAACTTCCAAACCAGCTCATTTCTAACTAGCTTCCTAACAACCTTTCATCCCTGCCAGATGCTCCCTCTGCCCCCATCCACAGCGGTTAAGAACACTGTTCCCAAATTCTCACTTACTGCTGGTATCAAGCTCTAGGCAGCTCCTGCCTTTTTAACATACATTTATTTATTTGTTTATTTATTTTGTGTGTGTGAGCATGTGTGTGGGCACACACGTGCCACAGTGCATATGTGTAGGTCAGAGGACAGCTTGCAGGGACGCTCCTTTCCCCACATAGGTTCTAGGTATTGAACTCACCACCAAGCTTGGTGGCAAGTGCTACCAAGGTGAGCCACCTCATTGGCCCAGCACTTAGCCTCCTGTAAAATCTTTATAGTCTTATTTCCCAGAACATGTCTCCCAGCTCAATACTCTCACCAGAGCAAATTACATTCTGTGCTTCAAAATTTCCAAGCTTTCTTTCCAGACTCTACCCTGGCTGTGCCCAGTTCATCTGTTGACAACTGAATACACAGGTCCTACCTGTAAGGTCAATGGAAAGGAGAGACAGGGAACGAGCAACTCCAGACAGTACAGGTTCAAGAGAAAAACCTGCAGAGGTGTCTCTGGGTAAGAATCTGGACCCATCACCCACTTACAGGCTGGGGTACTTGTAGGGCAGAAAGTTTGTGGGAGAACATTGAAAATTTTCCTGTTTGGGCCACAGTTGGCCGTTGCTAGTGGTAACCAGTGAGTAGTCGGTTAAAGAATGTTAGATGATCGATAAATCTCATTTCTCCTGGCTGTCCATTACTGAGGTTGAGGTGGGGAGAGGAGGAATCTAGAGAAACAAATTGCTTTAGTTGTAGAAATCAAATTACTGTCGTTTCAGGAACTTTCATAATTCAACCAAAATGGAAGAGCTTTACAGAATGGCACAGCCCAGCTAACACTACTCCCGGTGACTCTGATTCCCACATGCTACACAAGTTTCCACGGCCAGGGTCAACTACCTACATTTTGCAGGCAGGTGCCCCCTCTGCCAGGAGCCACCTCCTTCAGCCCCATACTGGATATCACTTCTTTGTGAGAATCAAAACCTTTATGTTCTTCAGTTTAGGAAGAGTCTTTGTCAGAGGTTAGACCCCTCCTCTGTGCACCCCAGACCCTTGGGCTTCCCTGAGTCCTGTACTGAGCAGGCTCTGAGGAGCAACCCTTCAAAGAGGGTCCACCATGAGTGAAATGGGAGGCAGAGACATGCCTTTGCTGAAGGAGAGCTAGTCAGTGTCCAGGTGATGTCCAGGGTTTTGTTAAATTTCCTTTGAGCTCAGAGCACTGAAGACTGGACCCAAGGCTTCTGACGCATTAGACATGTGCTCCCCTGCTGAGCTACAGTCCCAACTCCTTTGAGACAGGGGCTCCCTAAGTTGCCCATGTTCGCCTTGAATTCACTCTGGAGCCCAGATAGGACTTGAATTCAGGACGCTCCTGCCTCAGCTTCCCAGGTGTGTGGTATGACAGGTGTCAAAGCAAAACACAGCTCTCACCTTAAAGGGAACAAAAGATAGTTTATTCTGGAACTAAATATGAGTGACCGTAGCTAGTTAACATGAATTCAGTCTACCCCAAGTACTGTGTTCTAATGGGAACATGGTTTCACAAAGTTTTTATAGTTACAGAAAAAAAGAAAGTCATAACCCAAGTCACTTTTCAGTATATTAGTGAAGATATAAGGCAGGTGGGTTTCAGCAAAGTACGGAAACCTCTGAGCTAGGTTTCAGGTGTTATCTGATGACATTCTTAGCCCTGGGGTTGGTGGGAGCTGGTAGTCTGCTAAGTTAATACTTTTCTAAAGGTTTCATATGATACATGATAGCCACCGGACATTAGTCACACACAGATGTGGGTATTAAATAGGCTAAATGAAGTCAAGCTGTAGCTCAGTTGGTAGAGTGTCTGCCTGACACTTATGAAGCCCTGGGTTCAAGCCCCAGCACCCCATAAGCAAAGTGTGGTGGCCTGTGACTGTGGTCCTGGTGCTCAGGAGGTGAAAAGTTTACAGTGAGTTCAAAAACCCCCTGAAATACATGAGAACTTGTCTTTGAAAAAACAAAAAATAGCCCAAAGTAAATGAGCTATGAATCTGCACCATTCTAATTCCACAAACAGGAAGTTCTAACAGTCAGCTTTATGGAATCTTTGTTCTAGAATTTCTGATCACACCGGCCTGTGCCACCACCAGGCCCAGCTATTATCACAACTTAAGAAATCATGACGACCACCCCAGCCTTCAGCAATCACCACCCAGACCAGTCAACAGACATCAACACTGGGCAAGACCCTCCCACAGCAAAAAGGTTGAGGCTTGTTGAAGGGGTAGGGTATGGTTAGCATGCTTTAGTAATAAAAATTTTAAATTAAGGGGCTGGAGAGATGGCTCAGCAGTTAAGAACACTGGTTGTTCTTGCAGAAGACCCGGGTTCACATCCCAGCACCCACATGGCAGCTAACAACTGTCTGTAACTCCAGTTCCAGGGGATCTGACAGCCTCCAAGGGCATCGCATGACACGGGTGCACTTATCTACACACAGGCAATACACACATATACATAAAGTAAAAATAATAAAATATCTTAAATTTTTTAAAATTAAGGCACATAATGGGTGCTTTTAGTCATACTTTACTGCATACTTAACGAACTACTAGTGTGGGTGTGATTTTTGTATGCTCTAGGAAAAGAACAAAAGTTTCTATGATTCACACCATTGGGTTTTTTGCTTCATGGCGATGGTCAGGCACCACAGTATCACCAAGGTATGCCCACCTTTCCACCACAGATCCTGGTTCAGGGGGACTGGGCCAGCACCTCTCTGCCTGCACCCAGGGCTGACCTGACATGTAGCAGGTACTCAAATGTTTTTTGTTTTGTTTTGTTTCAAATGATCAAACCAACCCTCAAATGATCAGAGGAACAAAGGTTTACTGCACCTTGCCTGACAGATGGGAAGGATCCAGTCCGGAGCGCAGGTGAACAGTCCAGCCTGCAGAGGGCACCAATCTGCTTTCTAATCTCCCCATGGAAGCCGGGGAGCACGGATGGACCTGCTGTCAGTCAGACAGGTGCTGGCTGCTCAGTGGACATTTCGCTGCGCTGAAGATGAAGTAGGAGTTCCGATGCATAAAACCCGAGCGCGCTCCCCTCACACTAGCAACGGGTCTCACATCCCCTACCTTGCCATGAACAGAGCTGTGACTGAAGCAACCAGTGTCGGGTGGGGAGACAGAGAGCCAGGGTCGGAGGCAGAGAGGCAGGCTGATCAGTGCTGAACGTCAGTGCTCTTGGAGATGCAAAGGAAAGTTCCTCCTATGTCTCCAAGCTACTTTCTCCTTTCTCTAGCTCGCTCTTCTAGGGAAGAAGAAAATTTAAATCTCGGCTGGCCAGCACCCACAAGAGAAGCAAAGGGAGAGAATTTTCTGCCTTTCCTGTGAGCAGCAGATTCCCTCCTAGACCCTGCAGGAGCCCCAGCTGGCGCTGGCCTTGCAGCTGGCCATGAACTCTTCGTGCTGCTCCCTGTTCGCTCACCCGATGTTGCCTAACCACACGGAGCACCCTGCCGTCCCTCTGAGCAACCGGAGCGGCAGTGGGTTCTGTGAGCAAGTCTTCATCAAGCCGGAGGTCTTCCTGGCACTGGGCATCGTCAGCCTGCTGGAAAATGTCCTGGTCATCTTGGCTGTGGCCAGGAACGGCAACCTGCACTCCCCCATGTACTTCTTCCTGTGCAGCCTGGCCACTGCCGACATGCTGGTGAGCGTGTCCAACGCCCTGGAGACCATCATGATCGCCGTTGTCAACAGCGACTCCTTGACCTTGGAGGACCAGTTCATCCAGCACATGGACACCATCTTCGACTCCATGATCTGCATCTCCCTAGTGGCCTCCATCTGCAACCTCCTGGCCATTGCTGTGGACAGGTATGTCACCATCTTCTACGCCCTCCGCTACCACAGCATCATGACAGTGAGGAAGGCCCTGGCCTTGATTGTGGCCATCTGGGTCTGCTGTGGTGTTTGTGGTGTGGTGTTTATTGTCTACTCCGAGAGCAAGATGGTCATCGTGTGCCTCATCGTCATGTTCTTCACCATGGTGCTCCTCATGGGCACCCTGTACGTGCACATGTTCCTCTTCGCCCGGCTGCATGTTCAGCGCATCGCCGCCCTGCCCCCCGCAGATGGCGTGGCCCCACAGCAGCACTCCTGCATGAAGGGGGCTGTCACCATCACCATCCTGCTGGGGGTGTTCATCTTCTGCTGGGCCCCCTTCTTCCTCCACCTGATCCTCATCATCACCTGCCCCACCAACCCTTACTGCATCTGCTACACAGCACACTTCAATACCTACCTGGTCCTGATCATGTGCAATTCTGTCATCGACCCCCTCATCTACGCCTTCCGCAGCCTGGAGCTGCGCAACACCTTCAAGGAGATTCTCTGTGGCTGCAACGGCATGAACTTGGGCTAGGGCTGTGCAAGTGATCCACATCCAACCAAGGGGCGAGAGAAAAAGCAACACTCGGAAGAGATGTAAGTAAGGGTGTTAACAGCCATGGCTGTACTTGGCTTTGCCTTTAGGCTGAAGACCCTTTTCAAAGGGGAGATGGCAGAGAACAGGCTCTCTGGGTGGATCTTCTCGTGGGTAAGTCAAAGTGATCTCCCACATGGTTCCTGGAGAAAGTGGTGAAGGCTGTGCTTGGTGCTGTCCTTCCCAGGTACCAGGGCTTGTAATGCCTGCCTGTCCATTCACTTTATATGCATAACTCTGTGCTTCACGCCAACTAGACTGGAGGGCTCCCGTGAACAGCAAACATGGTTCAGATGTCCAGCACGCAAACCTGCTAACAGCTGCCACCCCGAGCTGTCCACTATTCGGGGAGCTTTGCACTACTCTGTGAGACACTGAGTTTCCACCCATGGGTTTACAGCCCTGTAATATATTCTCTTCCCCTTTTTACCCTCACATCCATGCCGGCCTCCCCCTGCAAATAAATAAATAGCCTAGAGATGTGAACCACGTCTCTCTGAGCTGCTGTGGTAGTGGTGGTTAGGGTAACGAGGGCTTCGCTCGTTAAATCTAAACTTTGAAACCTAATGGAAGAAAAGTGCCGGGAAGAGTAAGCCGTGCGTGGTCTTGAATTTTGGTCATTTCTAGGTGTGTGTTACTCTTTGTAAAAAGAAACAAAGCGGAGTTTTCCTACTATCCCTTTTCTGTCTTTGAAACAAGGAGGAGCTGTAGGTGGGAGGGTGTTTTTTTCACAAGAAATCACCTCATTGTCATTGATAATTTGAGCAGCTGGAACAGCTTCAAGCCTGCACCAGAGCTTTTTCCCTCTGATCGCTGTGCATCTATCTCGTGGCTAATTCAACGTTATCTCTGAAAGAATGAAACTTGTTCTGACTCTTTGCCCCTTTTGTCCACATGGTGTTGAAGTGCAATGATCCCATTAGCAATGTCTGTACCTTGTAAATAAAGCAGAGCACTCCCCTGACCACAGGGTGAGATCTACAGGCATGCTGTGTACTGCTGTATGCTGCAGGAATCGGCCAGCTTACTTCTTACCCGGGACAACTTCAGTCAGTCAGTGGCACACTCTCCTCTCATGATTCTTCAGCTGTGTTTTGATACGCAACAATGTGTTTTCCTGCTCTCAAATAAATACGGGGGAGTGCTTGAAATTTTTTTCTGCTAACACAAGCAGAAATTACTTGTTTCTTGCTTTGGTTGTAATGTTTGGAAATAATAAAAGCTTTTGTGATTGCTAAGCACGTGTGGTATTTCAGTACGCCCCTGAAGCCATCCTGTGGCTCCCACACACAGCCACAGTATGTTACACTGTAGTCCAGGATCTATTTTGTAAATCGTATTAAATAAAGGTCCCATTGGTCAGAAAGCTAGTCTTTTCTAGTACAATCCTTTCAGCCAAACAACAAAACTCTCCTGTCTAGTTTCCCAAACTACCAGGCTTCTAACACCTCAGCCACTCCTTGCTATTTTAATCAAGGCACTAAATAAAAGGAATTATCAGTTGGCACTCAGCATGTGAATGTGGGAAACAGGAAATCAGATTCATTGAAAACTATAGCAACAGCTATAGGAGTCAGAATGCCCTTGTCCTATGGAAACAAGATAAAAATAACATTTTTCTTCTTTCCTATCGGTTCTCACCTCCTTACATCTTACAGTCGGTAAGCCTCTGAGATAGAGGTGTCATTTTAGAGATGAATATGTGTAGCCCATTGGCTTTGAGGACTGGGAGAATGCCTGGCTGGTCAGGCTGCAGTGGGTCCTGCATCCCCATGCTGATGTCTTTTGGGCCCAGCATGCCATCTCCCACAATGGAATTGGACTCAGCACTCACTGTGAGCATTAGTTCCCAGGGGTGCATTCAGACAGGAGAACCCAAGCATCACATGGTCTCTTCCTCATTGTGGACTCCGGTTCAGTGGATCTGAGTTAGGTCCTGAGACGAGGCTCGGTATTTCTGACTCCCCCCGGGATGCCAGCTGCTGATGTGAGAGCCTCATTTTAAATGGAGACAAACCTGACACAGGCCCCGAGTGTGTAAGTCTGCAGAGACTACTGACCTGTGCCAAGAGCTGGGGAAGTTCTACAAGCATTTGCTGCTTGGACCCTTATGATGCCCTATGTGACAGATACTGTTATTATCCTTCTGTCACAGGTGAGCTCTCTGAACTCCAGGCTAAAGTACAGGGCAATTCAGCTGCCAAATGCAGGCCTGCAGAGTCCATCTCAGGCTGCGCATCCCACATCCCTAATCAGTCCTGTAGCGGTTTGAATACAAAATGTCCCCCACAGGCTCATATATTTGGACACTTTCTCCCAGTCAGTGGTGCTGCTTTGGAAAGCTGTAGAACCTTTGCACAGTGGGGCCTTCCTGGAGGCAGTGGGTCACTGAAGGTGGGTCTTGAGATTTTGAAGCCCAGCCCTACTTCCTGCTTGCTTTCTGCTTCCTGACCATGGACACAACATAACAGCCACCTCACTCCCGCCACAGTGACACAAGATAACAGTCACCTCACTCCCCCCACAGTGACACAGTGTAACAGTCACCTCACTCCCCCCACAGTGACACAGTATAACAGCCACCTCACTCCCCCCACAGTGACACAGTGTAACAGTCACCTCACTCCCCCCACAGTGACACAGTGTAATAGTCACCTCACTCCCCACCGTGACACAGTGTAATAGTCACCTCACTCCCCACCGTGACACAGTGTAATAGTCACCTCACTCCCCACCGTGACACAGTGTAATAGTCACCTCACTCCCCACCGTGACACAGTGTAATAGTCACCTCACTCCCCACCGTGACACAGTGTAATAGTCACCTCACTCCCCACCGTGACACAGTGTAATAGTCACCTCACTCCCCACCGTGACACAGTGTAATAGTCACCTCACTCCCCACCGTGACACAGTGTAATAGTCACCTCACTCCCCACCGTGACACAGTGTAATAGTCACCTCACTCCCCACCGTGACACAGTGTAATAGTCACCTCACTCCCCACCGTGACACAGTGTAATAGTCACCTCACTCCCCACCGTGACACAGTGTAATAGTCCCCTCACTCCCCCACAGAGACACAAGGTAACAGGCACCTCACTCCCCCCCAGTGACACAGTGTAACAGTCACCTCACTCCCCCACAGTGACACAGTGTAATAGTCACCTCACTCCCCCCACGGTGACACAGTGTAACAGCCACCTCACTCCCCCACAGTGACACAGTGTAACAGTCTCCTCACTCCCCCACAGCGACACAGTGTAACAGTCTCCTCACTCCCCCACAGCGACACAGTGTAACAGTCTCCTCACTCCCCCACAGCGACACAGTGTAACAGTCTCCTCACTCCCCCACAGCGACACAGTGTAACAGTCTCCTCACTCCCCCACAGCGACACAGTGTAACAGTCTCCTCACTCCCCCACAGCGACACAGTGTAACAGTCTCCTCACTCCCCCACAGCGACACAGTGTAACAGTCTCCTCACTCCCCCACAGCGACACAGTGTAACAGTCTCCTCACTCCCCCACAGCGACACAGTGTAACAGTCTCCTCACTCCCCCACAGCGACACAGTGTAACAGTCTCCTCACTCCCCCACAGCGACACAGTGTAACAGTCTCCTCACTCCCCCACAGCGACACAGTGTAACAGTCTCCTCACTCCCCCACAGCGACACAGTGTAACAGTCTCCTCACTCCCCCACAGCGACACAGTGTAACAGTCTCCTCACTCCCCCACAGCGACACAGTGTAACAGTCTCCTCACTCCCCCACAGCGACACAGTGTAACAGTCTCCTCACTCCCCCACAGCGACACAGTGTAACAGTCTCCTCACTCCCCCACAGCGACACAGTGTAACAGTCTCCTCACTCCCCCACAGCGACACAGTGTAACAGTCTCCTCACTCCCCCACAGCGACACAGTGTAACAGTCTCCTCACTCCCCCACAGCGACACAGTGTAACAGTCTCCTCACTCCCCCACAGCGACACAGTGTAACAGTCTCCTCACTCCCCCACAGCGACACAGTGTAACAGTCTCCTCACTCCCCCACAGCGACACAGTGTAACAGTCTCCTCACTCCCCCACAGCGACACAGTGTAACAGTCTCCTCACTCCCCCACAGCGACACAGTGTAACAGTCTCCTCACTCCCCCACAGCGACACAGTGTAACAGTCTCCTCACTCCCCCACAGCGACACAGTGTAACAGTCTCCTCACTCCCCCACAGCGACACAGTGTAACAGTCTCCTCACTCCCCCACAGCGACACAGTGTAACAGTCTCCTCACTCCCCCACAGCGACACAGTGTAACAGTCTCCTCACTCCCCCACAGCGACACAGTGTAACAGTCTCCTCACTCCCCCACAGCGACACAGTGTAACAGTCTCCTCACTCCCCCACAGAGACACAAGGTAACAGCCACCTCACTCCCCCCACAGTGACACAGTGTAACAGCCACCTCACTCCCCCCACAGTGACATCCACCATGGCAGATCTTATCCCCTCTGAGTAAAAATATTTCCTTCTTCACATAAATTTCTTCTTCTCAGGTATTTGGTCACCGCAATGAGAAAAGTAATTCACACGGGGACACAGTCCCCTCTCACACAAAAGCAGGACAGATACTGTTACTATCCTTATGTCACAGGTGAGACCCAGTGATGTCAAGGGAGCGCGCTGGTCTGGGGAGAGGCTCCGGTGCATGTTCCCAAGCTCAATGAGCTTCCAGAAAGGCATATTAAAGTCAAGAGGCACAACTAATCATTTCTCTATAATTTCCCAAAGACTGTTGTAGCCACAGGAAGCACAGCAGAGATGAGTGGGGGTCAACAAAAGCTTTCCCTGCCTCCTATGCTTCAGGAAACCAATGGGAAAGTGGGGACACCACTGCCTCCTTCTGCAACACTTGTCAGAGCCTCATGAGGGAACCCATGGGCCACTGAGAGTCAGGTGGGAAGATCTTTCCTCCCCCTAGAG